TAGGAAATTTCCCCAACCCATGTATGGCTTAAATTTATAAAACTCAGCCCCCGGGCATGCATGGTTTTCACTTACGGCCTCGTGAATATTTTTGGCAGGAAAATTGCTAACTCAAGAAAATTTGGAAAGCTGAAATTACAACGAAATGTTCCCTGTCCAAATACCGCACAGACAATTAACTTCCCGAGGACCAGTATATCACACATTTCTAGCTATTGGGTTCCCGAGCGATCCCATTACGGCGTGAAAGATTGCAAAAACGCGTGATCGCACCAGCCAGCCCGGTGCGCGTCGCCAATGATTTTTCGAATGCTCTTCAAAGGTGTTGAAAACGACGAATCTTGCAGCTGTTGCACAAGATAATCTGTGATCCCTTTCGTTTAGAATTTTAGTGTGAAGACTAGCTGTGGATCAGACGGTAGATCAAACTAAATGTCATGCGAGACCGGACATCCCAGGACGCCGCCGAACTTTTCAGAAGTTTTAGACATAAATTACGCCGATTTCAGGGATGAACTGCTAACGGAAACCCACCGGCTAATAATTTAAGCTTGAAAGTAACTTCATTTTATTCGCCCAAGTGAGCATCTAAATTTTATGTTTGGACTGAGTTGAAAAAATCTTATAGCCGCACCTCAACAGATTCTTGTTGGAAGCTGTTCTTAATACTAGAAAAGAAAGTATGGGATTTTTTCAAAATGCGAAAACTGCTCCATGTGCATCATGGTGTTCCAGTTCCGAAATTCCGTATACACTGCAACTAGAAATTCAGCTGTGATAATCTCATCGTTATGAAGCGTAAAAAATGATTGCTTTGGTGAATACCTTTTCAAGTTTCCGCGGCACTTTTTTGCTGCTTACATAACATTTCAGTGTATTTGCAACAAATCACGTATAAAGTCATAGTTTTATATACATTAATTTAGGCTAAAAAACAAGCAGTAGTAAGGGGGATGGAGCGTTACTGTAAGAGAGTAATAACTAAACATATGAGTTACAAATAAGAAAAACGGGGGAAATATATAACAACAAAAAATCGAAGAAAATAATTATCAGTAAAGACAGTAGGGATACATCTTTCTTGTAGCATATGTAAAATTCAAAAAAAGAAAATTCTGCATAGCTGAGCTCAGCGATTCAGCAGTAACAAGGATTCTGCACCCGTGCTCTGGACAATTAAGGATAAAAGTAAGCAAAGGAAAAACAAAACACCGGTGATCAGGAAAATCAAGGACAAAAACAACTAAATCCTGTGATTTTCTCTAAAAAATCAAGCGTACGTCAAAATTCAAAACCCTCTTCCATATACACTCTCTCTCCGAAAAGCGGAGGCATTTGAAGATAACCCGAGAATAGCAGGTACCAGCAGCAAACACTTGCTGGCAAGGCTGTCGATGGCCCCGTGCTAAGGCTTGACTAGAATCAAGCTACTGGTGAGTTTCTCTTCCTGGAATGTGCCAGTACCAGTTACCATCGAAATAATGAATGGATAGTGCAATGATTATTCTATACAGATTCTTAATAATTGATCAGCGCACCGGCTGCCAACACGAAGATGCATTTTTTGCACAGTTCCTCACAGATTTTTTTGTCGCTGACGGTCCCGTTTTTTCCGTCAGAGACTTCTAGTTAAAAGAACTGAGACAAGCCACCACGACTGTCAGAAAACATTCCCTCAAAATTACAGCTTTCTAGGTTTTCTGGTTCTCGAGTTAGCAATTTACCCGCAAGAAAACTTCACAGGCCCGCATATGAGAATTACGCATACCTGAAAACTGGGTTTGAAGTCATTAAATTCTACGTGGACGGGGAACATCCCCTTAGAATTCCAGCTTTCAAGCTTTTCTGGTCCCCGAGTTGGCAACATACCTGACAAGAATTTTCACGAGCCCGCAAGGGGGAACCACGTGAGCACAAGCATCCATTTTGGATGTAGGAACTGCACAAACGTGCAGATTAAGTTGCCAAAGTTTCAGTTTTATAGCTTTTTTGGGTCTTGAGATGGAAAATCGGTATAGACACAGAGACACACAAAAAATCCTTTGACAGTATGCGTTTTTGCATTACATAGATGGAAAAAACGCACAAAAATACAAATGTTTAAGCCTGATTGCCCTGTACTTATGTTGAGCACATATTCAAACGAGGCCAAACGGCTTACAGCTCCGCCGACAATGAGGGAGCATTCAAATGATATGATGCCCCCTTCGGTTGCCTGGGCGGTCTCGGTATTTTTATGCGTTTTTGCTGTGCAGCGCTACGGCGCTGCCACAGTCAACAAAAACGCATGCTGTCGAGAGGCTGTCTGTGTGTGTGTGTGTGTGTGTGTGTTCGGGAAGCGAGTGCATTTTGTCACCCGCTTTCAACTCAGCAACTAGGAAAGCTGGGAGGCTGAAACTTCGGATATATGTTCCTACCCCGTGTTTCGTCCTCCCGCTTCAAGATCTTTCCCCATACGCGCCTAGACCCCGCGTACGGGGTCCCTAAAGAAATATGTTGGCGGGAAACGATTTCGCGAACCAGGCAACGTAGGCAACGTAGAAAACATTGCAGGGATATTCTCTATGCACGTGCGGAAGAAACTCAACTATCCAGCACCCCAACCAGCGCCTCAAGCAGCTCCTGAATTCAAAAATCGTTAAAAATTTGTCGCAACTGGGACCTGGACCCAATGGTGTATGTAAATGATACTAGTTGATCTGCATATATGTTTTTTTGCCAAACGACCGCTCGAGCAATACTTTCACTTTTTAGTGAACTGGAAATTTGCATTTTTTCAAGAAATCTGCATTTGTCATTTTTTCACAAAGCGAGCCCGACGCCGACCCACAGCACAACACCACCCACAACACCTGTCCTCCAACCAAGCAACGCCACCACTGAGCAGCGTTAGACCGTTCAGCGGGGGGCGCTCCC